CATTATCATTATTATTATTATTATTATTATTATTATTATCATTATTAAGGGGGAAGCATTTACAATTTTGTTTCCTTCATTTGTATGTATCTCTATCTATCATTATCTCTTCCTATCTCCTCTCTCTCTCTCTCTCTCTATCTATCTATCTATCTATCTATCTATCTATTTTCTCTCTCTGATCCTAGAAGACAAGTGTTCAAAGAAGACAAGTGTTCAAAGAAGACATCTACATTAATAAACACCATTTTTCTGGATGATGATGATAATCATAGTAATAACGATAATAATGATTAGAGTAATGAAACGGAAGAGAAGAATGATTATAATGGTGTTGATAATAATAGTATTAGTATTAATGATGATGATGATGATGTTCATGATGATCTGAAATTTTCAATAAGAATTTATCGTCTTATTTGGATAATATAGCATCATCATTGAAAACAACACGTCCACAGTGTTTTTTTTTTTTATCATCACTCTAACAACATAAATTTTCAGAAAAGTAGCAAAAGACTTATTCGCATATTATTATCATATTATCATCAAGTGCCCTGAACATATATTTTTTTTTTCTTTTGTAAGTCAAGACATTGGATGGGTGACCACATTGATGATGGTGGTGGTGATGGTGATGGCGGTGATGGTGATGGTGGTGATGGTGATGATGGTGAAAGTAAGGGTAAAGGTAAGGAGGAAGTTGACGGATTATGATGGTGAAAGTGATAAGGATGATGATGATAAACTGCTATAATATTCGAAATTCACTAAAGTACTGGGTATAGAAGAACCCAGTATATTTTATTCCTTTATCGTGAACTGATAACAAGCGCTTGCCTGTTTAGATGATATTAAGATAAAGCCCGAGATAGTACAGTTGAAGAACATAAACTGTGCTATTTACTCGTGCAGAAAAAAAAAATTATGTACTTTCTATCAAATAATTAAGTGCCCGAAAAATATATCTGCATTTTTCCCAAGGAACATATCAAGTATGTTCATGCAACGTGGCAGAAGTGGATAAGATGCCTACACTGATAACAAATATCCTTGTTCCCGAAGGCTGCGACAAGTGTATGACAGCTACATCAAAATTTGCATCACGGGCGTGTTTAGTTCAGTAGTAGCATCAGGAAGATTCGTTAATACAGCTTTTAGAGACCAAGGATGGGCATTTGATCATGTTGCACTGTACACTCACATGCGCAGCTAGAAGAAGCTTTGTCATGTTACCTATTGCACCTCGTGTTGCAGAAAAGGGTTGCAGCCAGCTATATAATAACTGGAGGACAAGAATATATTAGAAATTTTGTAAATCATTTCTGTTTTGTCTTGGTGGCCCCGTAAAGCCTGTGCTAGAAATATAAGACAATCTATTATGGTATTAATAAATTGAAAAAGCATATACGTTTAGGAGAGCTAAATTTTGTCCCAAAATCCACAACACTGCTTTGGTAGAGAGAGAGAGAGGGGGGGGGGGATGGCAGAGAGAGAGAGAGAGAGGGGGGGGATGACAGAGAGAGAGAGAGAGAGAGGGGGGGGGTGACAGAGAGAGAGAGAGAGAGAGAGAGAGAAGGGGGGGATGGCAGAGAGAGAGAGAGAGAAAGAGAGAGAGAGAGAGAGAGAGAGAGAGAGAAAGTGAGAGAGAGAGAGAGGGAGGGAGAAAGAGTGAGAGAGAGAGAGAGAAAGTGAGAGTGAGAGAGAGAGAGAGAGAGAGAGAGAGAGAGAGAGAGAGAGAGAGAGAGAGAGAGAGAGAGAGAGAGAGAGAGAGTCAAGACCTCCCCCCCCCCAGCCACCGCTTCATCGATTGCTCCAAGTCTTTCGAATCATGTGTTCCTTTACCTGTGTTGTACTCTTTCACCAATAAAGAGTCAAGCTGGACCAATCTATCACTGCTATTCACCAGCCTCACCTTTGTAAGAGGCACTCAGCAATCTGGTGACTAACATGTCTTCAGAACTATGTGGATACATGTTATTGGCCTTTTCCTTTCTCTTCCTTCCCTTCTTCTCCCATAAATGTGTTAAGCCTTATGAAATATATGTGCAGTCATTCACGGTTTTGCTGGGTAAAGGTGTTAAGTGTGGGAACTTTTGTGACAGGAACTTTGGCTGTTTGTCGTTGTTACTACCATAGGGATGACTATAGCACCGTTACATTGCCCAGTAGTGACAAATCTTATTGCCGATGGGATGGAGTTGTAATGCGATTTTTGTATGAATTAATTATCTGAAAGTAGCGTTAGTATATTTCCCTTATCACAGATATAATCTTGGATTTCATAAATCGTCTAATAGATCTATGCCTTGACGTGCGATAGTAGTAGGTGTAGATTAAAGTTATTCGTCCTATCGGCAACTTTTTTGTTCGAGTCGGTGTGAGCCTGTATTTACGTCCGTTCATAAGTGTAGGCTGGAATCATTATTTGCTTATTAAGCACACACTTCTCACCTTCTTGGAAGTCGCGTGCATGTTCTGGATAAGATCCCAGGCGACTTTGTGATATCATACCCATAAGGTCACTGCTACGAGTACCCATCATATACGCCGAGTAGACAGAAATAAATATGGATTTCCCATTAACTTCATTTCCTTCGGTAATTTAGGCATTGGAACCCCCGTTGATGAAATCTTAAGTTGGTTGACATGCATAAGCAAGTCATGGTTACCTCGGTATATCAAAATTTTGTAGCGAATCCGAAATTAAAATTAGATAGAATCATGGATTGCATAGTGTATATCTGAGCCAAGAAGTTATGCGTTCCGAGAAGCTTGTAAAAAAAAAAAAATCATGTCACCGTTCGCTAATCCGTACATTTCGTCGTATATCATTAAGTGTTGAGTTCAGCGTGGTAATAAAATAATGTTGTATTAGTATCATTTATAATTATCGCCTTATTGTTACCATGAACGATAATTTTCGTATTTGCGATTTTTTCTTTGTGAGCTCACTTTCATTCAGGCTCACTCTCACTTTCATTCTTTCTCGTTCTCACTTACACACACTTACTCATTTACACGCTAATAAAAACATGGAAACCTTTCATTAATAAGGTTTGTTGTCGCCGTTAAGATCGATGTCATATTTCTTTTGCCTGCGATTTTGTCAGTCGTAACAAGTGAACGCTAGAGCCATCAGCGTAGGGGCATTTGAAATTTAGGGGGGGCTGCAAATTTTCTGCCCGATTGAAAGAGGAAGAGATATTTCACCTGCCAGAAAATTTGTGATGAATGCCACCAGTGGCGTAGATAGAGGGGGTCGGGGGGGGGGCGAAAAACCCACTTATAAGGCTAAACTGCCATTTTGTCGGAAAATTTCTGTACTTGTCGGAAAAATAACGATGGTTTTCTGTTTCGTTTAGTTCTCGTGGCCTTATGTTCAAAATAATAAAAAATGAGAATTAGTGTCACATTTTTGTCGGGATATCTTCATTTCTCGCCCCCTCTATGAATTTTCCTATCTACGCCCCTGCCCAAAATTGTCCGAATTCAACCAGCATTTATCCGACTGAGGTGGGGGGGGGGGGGCTGCAACGCCCCCCCCCCCAGCCCCCCTGGCTCCTACGCGCCTATGGCTAGAGCTGTACATCTCTTCTTGAAAAGATTATCTCACGTCAAACCCTGATGTCAACTACATGAGTTTTGTGAGATACTGTACATGCCTCCTCTTGACTCATTTAATATGACTGAATAAGCGTCAAGCAACGAAAAACTTATATAAAGGAAATATTTGTACTGTCTTGATCTATCATTCTGGTAGGGACATACAACAAAGTACTTTAAAATATCTTGTGTTAAAAGTGTCACAACACACAGATGTGCATGCATTTGCCTGTTAGTAGGAATATAAAGATTTTTTTTTTTCATTTTTCATTCGTAATATAATGATAAGATAATGACAACAACAACTAAAGCACACAAATAAATACTGTGGTACCATATTTCGTTAAATCTAAAATATTTCTTTTCACGCGACTTTCACACTTGTCTTATCCTGTACATCAAGCAAATCATTAACTATGATGTACATGTGAAATTTACTTCACACGCAGAAGTGAAGTTGCGAAAACTGGGATGTTCCCCGTGAACGTGCCTGGCATCATACAATTCACCGAGCCGAGAAATATTTGAATAATTTCTGGGGGAGGGAACATGAGGGGGAATACAAAGACACTAGAATATCTGATTTCTAATTTTCTTTGCAAATATTTTTTTTTACATTGGATACGGCGGTTGTTTTAGGTGTACACAATTCTTCAACGAAAAAGATTAGCCTTTTTTTTAATGTGTGAAAGGGATAAGACGGCAAAAACTGACTACTCGATGAAGTCATAAAAAATAGCAAGGTTTCATAAGATAACGCAATGAAACTGCAGTCTAGGATTTCCCATCCTTCTGCCGGATATGGTGTAATGATGCAATGATATAATATACCAACAATAGAATAACGATAGTGGCAATAAAGTTAATAGTAATGATAAAGGATAAAGGTACTGATGTTAATGACATAAGAAAAAATAAAGGTATTGATGATAATGACATAAGAAAAAATAAAGGTATTGATGATAATGACATAAGAAAAAATAAAGGTATTGATGATAATGACATAACGATAAAGGTAGTGTTGATAATGGCATGAAATAAAGATAACAGTGATAAGGATAATAATAATAATGATTCTTATCATAAAGTAAGAAAAAAGAAAAGAAGAAGAATGAGTAAAGATTTGCAAGTGAAGAATTAGTGAAGAAATACCAAATATAAAGATAGAAATACCAAATTAAAGATAAGGTACACACAAGTTTTCACCCTTTTTTTAAGCTACAATATCATTTATTTGTCATTGGCCATATTCATAATATATGATGCACTGTCAAATCCAAAAGCTATTTAATTATAGCTATTTATCAGATGTCGACATTATGATTGTTTTGCATGTTCGTATGTGCCTGATTAGCGATTGATTATGGCCTAAAAAATACTTCAACTATTTACTAAGCAAGTTAGAAATATCACAAATATTCAGAATAAAATGGAACTATCGTAGCTTCCCAAATACTTTTATGGATTGAGAAAAAAATAGAGAAATGAAGATAGTTTCCGAAGATCCGAACAAAGTCAACAAACACACGCAGTTGAGACGAACTTCCTGAAACGCACGTAATAATAACATAAAGAAAAGAAAGAAGAAAGAAAATAGATACAGGGGATATAGACTAGACAATAGTCTAAAACCCTATAAAAGAAGAAAGAAGAAGAAGAAGAAACGCACGCAATACAAGGTTTATCTCCTTTTCCTTATTTCCTTTTTTCTTAACTTTCCTGAAACGCACGTAATATTTTTATCTCCTTTTTCTTATTTCCTTTCTTCTCAACTGTCCAGGCTTTTTTATATATCTTCCAGCAAGTCAAGGAGATACGCTTGGTCATTCTTATTCTTATTAATCTTATTAATTCTTCTTATGGTTATAGGAAACTCTTCCAGACGTCCATGCAACTTGAAGAGACAATGGCGCAGAGAGAGAAGGTTCACAGCTTGCGATTCAACCAAGACCAAGGTGGGTTTCGTTGTTTGGGGATTGGTTATCTGTCGTATATCTATTTACTCATTGGATCCGGTTGTGTCACGGCAATCAAATCAACAAAAATTCAGTCTTATGTGAGTTGCTGCTCTGCTAAGTGGGAGCTTGTAGGCCTGGCACATGCAAACGTGTGTGCAGTGACAAGTCTGTAAGCCTCTTATTTGCAAAGCTGTTTACTCTCTTTACGCTTCTGTGTTTTTCGCTTTTTGGCCATTTTCCAACATCCATATTTGTGATTTAATTTGCATATCCAGATGGTAATAGACTTTTTTCTTTGCACAGGCTACATATCATCTCTCTAGGTAGTCTTCTATAAATAAATTTATGGAAATGGCGTCCTCCTTGGAGCCAGCGCTCTTCCAGTCACCGTTCGTGAATATTACATTTCACACTTTTCTGTCATTGGCAATAATGGAAAATCGCCAAATGAGTAAATTCACCTCCCCATAGATTTGTGCACTTATGGCGAGTCTTTTTCATCACCCCAGCCTTCAGCCGAAATGCTCACAACAGCAGGTTCGCATCACCCAGCCTGCAGCTGAATTTTCCCACAATGGATTGCTCACTTCATATGCCCCTTAACCTGGATTTTTTCATGACATGATGGTCATGTCACCAAGATCAAATGAGTTAAAGAGAATAGATTTTATTCTTGTATATTCAAGATTTTTTAGTATTGGCCAAGGGATATATATTGATGTTGGTATGATGGTCCCAGCCTGGAAATTTTGCATTTTTCACATCAAATAGGTTTTCTTTGGAAGGGTTTATGCTCTTCTGAATAATGATAGTTATGTAGTTGGAGAAGGCCACTTCTGAAAAAGGCATGAAGGCTGCTGACACCACCACCATGGTCCCAGCACTGGAAATCTGAAACATCATCTGAAACTGTAAAAAACATGAACTTTTATTTGAAGTATTTTTCTGGAATGGTGGCACATAACTGATTGTGATGATTTTGCTATCTATGGATTCCTCTTACCCTCTAGTACACATATATGTAAGAATTATGCAGCCGAACCCCCTCCCCATATTCTTGGTCCCAATAGTAGGGTGGGCACAAATGATCTACATGTAGAAGTGCTCAATGCTGTATCCTGCCACGAATACTTACAGGATTTTTTGTTTTCAAAAGTTCTCTGAAAAAAACTATTTAACCCAATTTTGACAGGCATTGCATGTATGTCCATGCCATGTCCACTGTGAGTTTACTTTATTAATATGTTTTACACATAGATGGCTATATTTGTACTAAGTCACCAATGAGCCAATTACGAGTCCTGCCAGTCTCACCCATTTCCCCTTTTCCTTGATTGATGGAAAATGTTTTTACATTATCTTATTTTGCTGTTACTAGTGTTTATAACATTGTAGTAATTATAATGTCTATAATAAAAATAACACCATTGATATTCATAGCATTAGTATAAAAAATATGTTTTTCCCACCAATGCAAGGAAAGGTGAAATTAGATAAGGGCACAAGGTCTACTAATTGACTCCTTGGTGCTAAGCACTAGCAGAGCCATCTATGTGCAGAGACAGTTCACAAAAAGATTTAAAATGAGCACAATTTATATATAGATATAAATATAAATATAAATATAAATGTAGATATATATATATATGTGTATATATATGTGTATATATATGTGTATATATATGTGTATATATTTATATATATATATATATATATATATATATATATAGATATAGATATAGATATAGATATAGATATAGATATAGATATAGATATAGATATATAAATATATAAATATATAAATATATAAATATATAAATATATATAGATATATATAAATATATATAAATATATATATGAATATATATGAATATATATGAATATATATGAATATATATGAATATATATGAATATATATGAATATATATGAATATATATATATATATATATATATATATATATATATATATATATATATATATATATATATATATATATATATATATATATATATATATATATACGAATATTCACAACTACATATACAGGAACATACCATTTAATCTATTGCATTTTGTATTATCTTCAACATTTGAATTGCAGGGTGCTTCATATGCTGTATGGACAATGGTGTTCGTATATACAATGTGGAGCCCCTTGCAGAAAAATTACATTTGAGTAAGTCTTTATTTTTCACTGATACCTGTTTTCATTTGGTTATGTTATGTCCTAATGTACTCTTGGTTCATGGGATGGTTATTTTATAAATTCTTTGATATTGTTTGTATATATGGATGATTTATGTTTTCTTTGTTAGCCCTTTTTCTTTCTGTATCATAATTTTTCAATCTTATTAACATTGTAGAAGAAAGTTTAGCCGGAAGTGTTGCACATGGAGAAATGTTGCACAGGACAAATTTACTGGCAATAGTAGGAGGAGGAGCAGTTCCTAAGTATGCTGACAACACAGTCCTAATCTATGATGACAGAACATCAAGATTCGTCCTTGAGTTTACCTTCTCTGCTCCAGTTCTGTCAGTTAGACTGCGTAAAGATAGGTAAGGCCTTTTATACCTCCACTTTTTAGATTATGTGCATATCTAACAGATTGGAAGCATAAATGAAAATGCTGAAAATACCTTTTCCTTGCTACAGGTTATAGCAGAGTTTATAGCCATGGCCATTTGCATTTCAGGCTAGTTGTTGTATGCTGCCGTCAGATTCATGTCTTTTCATTCCCTCATTCCCCACGGAGACTTTTCACCTGCGAGACGCGTGACAATCCCCTAGGTCTTTGTGAAGTGTCTCCTCTACCCTCTGCTGACAGACACATTCTTTGTTTCCCAGCACATAAAGTTGGAGCTGTCCAGTTAGTGGTGAGTTTGTTTGAAGCAATTTTATATCAGGGGGTCTTCT